TATATATATATATATATATATATGTGAAAGTTCATATAATTAAAAATCTTGACTTTGCCTCTTAGATGAGATGCTAAAGTTAAGGCATACAATAAGATTCATGTTTGTTAGCCAGATTTGGGGTTAGTTAAGTTAGAGGGAAACATGTACATGATTAATTAGTTAGGATAATCTCCACATTATAAGGCATAGTATTAGTAAAATAATCATATTGCAGCTTTATGATCTGATCATTGATTAAAATAATTAGATATTAAAGATCTGGACATACAAGATTTGTTTTTTAGAGAGCAACAAGAAGAAATCCAGTATTCTAGGTTGAAATTGAGTCGTAATGGTCATCACTCGAAATGTTTTGCACGGATTTCGAGGCAATCTTTAATTTTGATTATGCTGCTCATTTAATGAAAATTTGTAGGCCAAAGTACTCTTATCCATCACCTAATAATAATTTCTTGCAGCCATAAAGTTAGAGAACTTTGTTTAATCCGGTATAAGTTTGACCTCTTACGACATAACTTTATGACGGTAACCAGCTTAAGTAGGTTATATGTATAACACATAATGAAACACTCAAACTTGACCTTAGTTGACAAGTAAGCACTTTAAGAGCGCAAATCTAGACACTTCAACTTGGTCTCAACTCTCAACTCCCAACTAACTAAACAACTCCAACTTTCCCACATTGTGTCTCGTGGACACCCAGCATTGACGTAATACATAATTTTGAAAAGTGTCTAGATGATCATTTGTAAGTTGGAGTGTCCAACTGACACAGTAAAGACAAGTTGAGATGTCTAAACAAGCATACGCAAAGTCAAAGCGCTTACTTGCAACATCAGTGCACAGAACAGAAACTCAGATGAACAATATTAGTAGAGCCCTATACAATTGAGTAATGGCACAAAAGGCAACCTTCTGATGTAAATGACAATTGGGAAGAGCCTGCTGCCAATTCCAACAAAAGAGGACAAAGCCAATGTTCACCTTTTAACTCTAATGGATCTCTTTCTTTTTTTTTTGGATGAAGTCTGAATAGATAGATCACTCAGTTGATTGATACAAATATCATCCAGGCATAAGAGAGTATGCACAACCAGGTTTATATCCTTTAGCCTGAATGAAACTGCTCGTGATGTGACAAAGTTCTGCAAAAGAGGGTATAGCAGCATTTCAGGTGAAAATGACCAAGGTAATAAAAGTGTTTATTAATAGTACCTATGTTGCTCGGACTCTTCAAAAATGTTGACGGGTGCGAGCCAGATCCTCCATCAATGGTGCATTTTTAGAGGATCTGATAGGGGTGAGGCAACATTTTTGGAGAGTTTGAGTAACATAGGATATTACGGAGTCATCCGACTGTCGTATTTGAGAAGGGCTTGGTTGGCAGTAGAACAATTCAATTTAGTCCCAGGTAAAATCAGAGCATCCAACACAAAGAACCAAAACAATGTAGTCAGCACAATTTAAAACAAAAAATATATTGGCATCACATGAACGAGTGCAAACCAAAAAAAGAAAAGAAAACCTCTATACGCTTCTCATCTTTTCTCCCCCTTCCCTCCCCAAAATGGGGTTACACTAGAAATTCAAGTGGGGGAAACAACTGCATTTCCAGTTCTTTTTTTCCATCAAAAAAAAAAAAAGAGTGAATAAAAATATATGTAGAAACGTGATATTGTCAAGAAAAGTATTTGCATAAAATATTAAAGGACAGAAACTCAATTATAGGAGGACAAACTGCTAGGAAAGCATACCTGTATGCACATATTCCCTGAATCCTAACTTGCGATGCTTTGGTGAAAAAGATGAACTAGAAAGTACATGTTGAACAGATCCCTCAGCCTTGATGTACGAGCACATCCTTTATCACATTCCTGGCTTCGCTACATAGCACATCTGAATCATTACCTTTTAAAGGCTTGTGGATGACAACTTTAACTGATCCTGGATATACTCTACCCTCCAGCCCTGCTGGCATTATCCTGCCTGTTCCACTGATAGTAATTGGAACCACAGGCACTCCGGTTTTGGCAGCAACGCTAAAGGCACCTTTCTGCACCACCAGCAAGAAAAAAAACAAGAGCTAAACAGAAGACCAGTACACCTTTTACTAGGTTTATTTGCAATAAATTCATGTAATCACTGATCTGAAAAAAAGGATTACCAGAATATGGTACCATGAGTAGGGCTTTACGCTTAACAACTAAGGCATCGAGGCATTCAAAATTACTTGCAACATTAACTACAGGTCTATACTCAGTTGTATTCAAAAGTTTTATTTGCCCATTATTACTTCTTGCAGTCTACAAGCTGAAATTCCAATACGAACACACCAGATGGAATAGGAGGGGGATAAAGACATATCTGAAGATAATATTTCTATTCTAACAAGAAGCTACTTTCTGAAAGCTTATGCTGTTTTCTTCAATTTTAGGGGGTGGAGAGTGGGGGTGAGGTTGGGATGTGGGAGTAGATGGATGAGAGAGAGGGAACATAAGTTGTTTGGACATAGACCTTACCTTGAAAGGGCCTAACTTTCCATCTTTACTCCGAGTACCCTCAGGGAAGAAAAAGACGGATGCCCCCTTCTTGACTAAATCCATGCAACGCTTGAGACATTCCTGAATTCATAAAAGCTAATAAGAAAATAGAAACATCAAACCTTTCAATAGGATCCAAACCCATTTTAAAAAATGATTGAAAAGTTGACATACAATTGAATAACTTAAAAGATTCAGTATAGCTATGAGGATATTTGTCATTAATCACATCAAAGAAAAAAATACCAATTGACTTCTGCTGTCCATGCGCCTTAATGGAATCAGACCCATCAGATACATGGCCCATCCAATAATAGGAATTAGGAAAATTGCAGTCTTGCTGATGAACTTGAAGTTCCTCCCAAGAGTAAGTAATGTATATATGTCCAGAAAGCTCTGATGGTTGGACACATATACTGCAGGAGTATCTGGAGAAGGAAGATTCTCCAAGCCCTCAAACTCGACTCTATAAAATGGAGTAATGGTCAAGGTTGCCCATGTCCTGGCAACAAGATGGTGAGCCTTCCTATGGTATCGATCAAATAACAGTACAAAAGGATGTTGCACAAGCATGATCACGAACAAAAAGACGGCAGAGAAAGCACTGACAGAGTAAAAGCAAATCGCTCTTACTTTTGATATCAACTCTAATTCTGTAAAAGAGAAGACGTATCTCTGTAAAAGCGAGTCCAAGTGAATAAAAGAGATGGTAAAACAATTTTGAAATGAACCTGATAGTGGATAAGCAGCACCAGCTGAGCTGGTATTAGCAAGTTCGGACCTTGCAATAATGTGTCTCAATGATCTATGTTGTCTATAAAAGCTATTATTTCCAAAACCGCTATTATACTTCTTTTGTTGGGGGGA